ACCTTTTTGGGATCTGGTGGGCGGGGCGAAGCAAAAAGAGGTGGGGCTGGTGGCTGTCACGGGAACGCTTGCCAGGGCACGCCAGGCCAAGGCGAGAACAGTCGGCAGACTGTATATTGAAAATGTACGAGACAGTCGGGAATCTGCCGCGACCTCCATATCTGCACATGTGCGAAACCTGACAGAGAACACCCTCAAATTCGCTAAACGCTCGGTCGACGTCTAAACTTAGCTTGGCACGGCACACAATCATAACTGGGGCCCCAACTTCACAGCAAGGGTGATCAACGAACGAGCTCGCATCATCGTGTCCGAATCGGTTACTGAGACAAACAAGGCAGCAATGCGCGACTCCTGGCGCAGCGCGAGCAAGGAACCAAGCGTCAGATCCCGCTCGGCCAGGCTTCTGGTCAAGAAACCCTGCCGCGTGACATGGTGCGGCTGCAGGAAAGCGTCGCCGACCATCAGCACGAAGAGACGACGTTCCCCTAACGGGAAATGGAAGCGGGCCTGGGCACCGTGAGGCCGTGCAGCAAGATCTCCACGAATCTTTCCTCGCACTGCTCGGCGTGGCTCTGGCGCCAGGCCGGGTGGCGAGCCCAAGTGCTGGCCAGGCGAGCTCCCTTCTCGTGCCTCACCACCGACCGATCGGCTTTCCAGCCGCCCCTCTTCTTGACCTCGGCCAGGGTACGCCTGCGGGACGCCATGTCTGCGCTGGCGCCGCTGTGCCGAGCCTGGTACACCACCAGGTCGAAGCCGAGGTCCTTGGCGACCCTCGCCACTGTCGCCGCCAGCTTCGGGTAGGTAAACGACCGCACTCGACGGCCCGCGGGCAAACTTTTCAGCGTCGTGAGCATCGGAGAGAGGCGGGGCCACCAGGCGTGGTCGAGCTCGATAGTCACGTCGAACTCCTTCGCCTTGGACGGGACCCCCTCGGGCTCGGGGTTGAGCTGGACCGTCCAGAAGGTCAACACCCGCGAAGGCGGGTACAGGTATTCGGGCTTCAGGGCCATCAGCTGGACGGGCCTGGCGTAGGTGCTCCACATCAGGCAGATGAACAGCGCCATGTCGAAGCGGCCCAGCAGCACCAGCCCGTTCACGATGGCGCACCAGATGGGCCACGCCTCGGGCAGGCGAGATGTGGACGGGCAGAGGTTCTGCCAGCCCTTGAGCGCCCTCCAGCTGCGTGACAAGGCGTGGGGTCCGTTCTTGCCCACTCTCGGCTGGCCGTGGACCACGCCAGCGATCAGCTTCATCCCGCGAGCAGCCGAGACGCCCCGACGGATCTGCTGGTCCATGTAACTCACCAGCAGGTCGTCCAGGTCCGTGATCGGGATGTCGGTCAGCTTCTCGGCGTTCGCAAACGTCCTGAACGCAGCCACCTCTTGGGCGTACTGGGCCTCCGTTCTCGGCCTCACGGCGGCGTGTTCTCCCGCTGTGAGGTGGGCAAAGTCGGGCAGCGTCCTGGCCGACAGGAGGGTCTCGAGGGCCTTCTTGGCCCGCGGCGGAGGCGTACGAGTACGAGTGGTCGCACCTGGCCTTGGCTCGACGTCGGGCTCGCTCTCCGAGCTCGAAGGAGCCTCCGTGTCCAGCCCACGCTGATGGCGGCGCCGCAGCTCCGACAGCAGCTGCACGACCTCGTCGTCCGAGATCTCCCACAGGCCCGCCGCCGTCTTTAGCGCCTGGGCCACCGCCTCGTTGTATGCCCACGGTACAAGGGAAGTGCGCGGCCGTGAGACGGATGCGACATCCGTCGACGGGAGCCGACGCTTCCTCACAGGATTCGCCAGTGCGACATCGCTGCGAGGCTGAGAGGAAACCAGAGTGCGGGTGCGCTCGGCTGTAGTCGCTTTTGGGAGAATCATGGAAGTCGGGTTGAGCCAAAACGGCTACGGAAGAAGGACCGAGGCGAGAGCCAGCGGGAGAGGGCGTCGCATCCGCTTCCGAACCCTTCTGAGGCTCGTCGCCAGCACAGGGCTCCACCCGAGAGGGGCTCGCAGCAACAAGCGGAAAACCGTCATGGGGGGCGTGCCCTATCGGATCGGGGTGGTCTTTTCCATCAACCTCCTTCGACAGAAAATGAAACTTAGGCTGAAAGAGACGGGACGGGGCATCAGCAGGATTCTTTTCCGACGGCACCCACCGCACCGAGAGACGAACGTTGCGGCTGAGACACCACGCTGCCATCCTCCTCAGGATGACGAGAACCTTGAAGTTCCGACACCTCCACCTGCCCACTGAGAGCACCAGGCCGAGGTTGTCGGCAAAAAGAACCTGGCGAATGTTGCGGCCAAAACGTGTGCGGGTCACGCGCTCGAGCCCGCGGAGCAGCGCCCTAGCCTCCAGCACTAAGATGTCCTCCTCACCCGAGAAAGGCCAGCCGCCGATGGTCCTCCAGGACGTGCTCGCCAGCATAGGCGAGGGCACCTCCGCGAAGGTGGGGTCGGCCATCAGGCCGCTCGTCCCGCAGGCATCCCACAGGTCCGAAGGCTCGGCGGGTATAGAGGTCGCCGACTGGGCCTCTCCAAGAGCGGCGGCTCGAGCGGCGACGTGGTCAGGGTCGAGGTAGCGATCGCGCTCACGAACACGACCCACTGCCGCAGCCTCGTCGGCTCCTACCCAGCGGCTGCAAAGTCCGTAGCCCCACTCGGAGGCGTCCGAGGCCACGATCATGGGGTTCCAGTCCGCTTCCCAGTCGGACACGAGCAGGACCATGAGCCCAGCGAACGTGCGTAGCTCGTCCGCGGCCGACGGCCAGAGGGCGACGGGCTGGTCGTAGTGAGCCCTGAAAGGGTAGACGGTGGTGAACACCGACAGCGTCTCGCGCCGCAGCAGGCCGCAGAAGGTGGCGTGGCCGAGGATGGCCTCCACCTGCTGACCCGTCACCCGCCGGCGGCTGGTGAGGGCCAGGATGGCCCCTCGCACTCTCCAGAAGCGCTTGGCGGTGAGGCGGGTGTGCCGCCTGCGGCCGTCCAGCAGAACGCCCAGCGCCTCCACCCCCTCGTCGGAGACGTCGACCTCGTGCACCGCCAGCCCGCGAGACTCGAACGCAGAGACCACGTCCTCGAGCTTCGAGGCCGCGATGCGGCCGTCGGCGCCGAACACCCCGATGTTGTCCACGTAGATGTAGTGGCGCGTCGCAGTGGCGCCCGCTCCCCGCATCGAGAGCACGAGCGGCTGGCCACGGTCGCGCAGCAGCTCAGCTCGAGGAAGAACCTGGCCGGCGGCCTCCTCGTCGATGTCCTGGGCGAAGAAGAGGCTCCAGGCGAAGCCCATGGGGAGGCAGCTCGGCATCGGCGTGGCCCAGTCGTCGGGCGCGAGGGGGCCGTCCTCACAAGAAGTCAGCCCTACGTCTCGAGCTCGCACACGGGGCAAGCCGAACCAGCGAGACAGCCACATCGGCATGCCCATCCTGTGGAACGCGTCCTGCACGTCAGCTGCGCCACAGTAGAGAGATGAGAAGTCCTGGTCGTCGGGAAGCTCGACCTCTATACGGCCCAAGCCCTCGGCCGTCAAAAGGTCGACGCGCGGCGGCGGTCGAAACCGCCGATTGGTCCGCCGCGCGTCGAGGATAAGTCGGAGCTTCCCACTCTTTTTTTCGAACGAAGAAAAGACCTGTGCGCTCATGCGCCCACTTGCCGAAGACCAGCATGTTCCTGGCCTTCAGGTCGCGCACGAAGCGGGCGTAGAGCTTCGGGCTGTTGGCGAGCTGGGGATCAACATAACACCGATCAGCGTCGCCGGCCAACGTGTCACTAGCACTGGGATCGAGCATGCGCACTCCTGCACCCTCCAGGTAGGCACGGCCACGGTCCCCCACCAGGTCGAAGACGGACGACGCCGCATCGCGCTTCTCAGGCAGGGAGACCCGACCTCGCTGGTACGGCGCGAGCGTAGTCATAGAGGCGTCCATCCTGTAGCCAGACGCCTTGTCACAGAGCAGCTCCCGAAGGGCCACTTCTGGCGGCAAGTAGTACTCATGGCCACCGTCGCGCACCTGAAGCGCAGCCAACTGCTCCACGTAGGACAGCACCTCGTCACGCTCGCGAATCACCTGGCACTGACCGAGCTCCGAAACATGTTGAGGCCGCCCGCGGAGATCAGGAAGTCGGTGGTCATCGGTCTTAGCAAGCCAATTAAGTGCATTTGAAGCGCCCTCGACGAGTTGCCGCACGTGGTCACGTCTGCGGTATCTCTTCGACCGACGCCCTCCCGAAGTCGGCGCAGACTCCAAAGGCGGCAGCGCAATCGGGAACTGGTCAAAAAGCTTGGGGCGTCCTCCCGCCCGAAAATCCCCCACTCTCAGCGGGCCGCGGCATGGAGGGCCAATCCGCGACCCGTCGTCTAGGTCACCCGCCATCGGGGGCGGCCGCATCGCCTCTGCCGCGGCCCCCCCGTCCTGCCCCAGCACCGCGGCCACGGCCGCCGTCGCCGCGGCCCGCAGCGCCCGACGGGGCGGCGCTCGGGTCGGCGCCGTCCGCGGGCCGCGGATGGCGCGAACGAGCCTGCTCCAGCTCGTTCTGGTCCTTCACCTTGGTCAGGCCCCACTTGCGCAAGGCGGGGGCGATGGCGTCGATCGAGTTGGCCTCGCCCTCGTAAACGCCTGCCATCTTCCAGCTGGGGACACCCCCGCCTGTCGCGTAGGCGTCGATCACCCCGCAGATGCGTCTCGTCAACTTCTCGATGCCAGCGGAGGCACCCAAGTTGAGCTGGTCGTACTCGCCGAACAACTTCAGGCTCTCCGTGAGGTTCGTCATCTCGTGGTAGACCCTGTCCGTCTTGCTGATGCCGTGGCCCCGTGCAAAGCCCTGCCACCAGCGCCGTGGGTCACCGCCGTACCGCTCGATGAACCGCGCGAGGTGGAGCGTGCCAGGCGGGCCCTGCACCTCCACGGCCGTGATGGGCTCCTCGCGGCTCTCCTGCACGGCCTTCTTGAAGGACTTGAAACGGTTCCCAGACTCGTCGTAGTCGACCCACAAAGTCCTGACGTCGTCGTCGGCCTCGATGGGAGGAGTCTTCGTGCCGCCGATCGCCAGAGCCCCAGCAGGCGGCTCAGCAGCCGCCGACGTGCTGCGAGCCTTGAGGCGGGCAACGAAGTCGACGCACTCGCTTGAAGGCACCGAGCGAACCCTCAAGAACCCGCCGTGCCGATGCACCAGTCCATCGTGGCTAGTGATGGCGATGTCGCCAGGCCTCAAAGTGACCTCCAGCCCGAGGGTCTCGTGCTCGTCGGAGTTCTCGCACACAATCCAGACACGACCCTCGGCGGGCTCCTCGCGCGCACGCAAAAGACCGAAAAGGTCCTCGGTGGCGTCGCGCACAGCGCCTAGGCCGACCGCGCCAGCGGGCCCCACGGAAGCCCCAGCGCCGCCGGCGTCGCCGTCCAAGGCCACAAGGCCGCCAGCGGCGGCCACGCCCCCAGGGGCCTCGGGCCCCCCCGCAGGCAAGGGCGCGGGACCGCCCAGGCGGCGCCGCCTGCCCACGCCAGCCAGCGCCCTGCGAGAGCCCTCGTGGTCGATGTAGTGAGTCATCGACAGCGGCTCCTCGCCAGCGGCCCTGATCTGGTCGACCTGGGCTCTGGCCCAGTCCACGATCTGCTGGCTGCTCGGATAGCGGTCTCCAGCGAAGCGGTAAAATCTTCCTCGCAGGCCCGCTGGACAATTGCCCATGTCGTCCAGGAGGACGATGGCTTCGCCTTCGTCGCCCTCCATGGTCATGTCTTCGTCGTACTTGTCGTGATCGGGCGTCAGCACCTCCCAGCGACTCACTCGGCCGAGTAAGTCGCGAGCGCACGGGCCGAGGACCACCCTCTCGTGGTAGAGGTCCTCTCCTGGGTATCTGACCGCCACGAGGCGGCCAGGGAGGAGCTCATTCAAGAACTCCCGCACCGTAAGACGCTCGCCTGTGGCCCCGAGTCGCACGGCCCGCGGCGCCACCGCGAGCGCCATCCCGTCGACAGCAGCAGCACTGGCCGACGAAGGTCACCCCGTAGATGAGCTGTCCGAAGCCGAAGAAACCCACGCCGCCCGCGAAGAGGGCGAAGTCCCTCCTCACGCTGTTGCACTGAACCTCGCACACGCAGCGATCAGCCACGAGCTGCTGCGCGATCTCCTCCACGATGCCAGGGTGGACCCAGCTCACGGGGCAGACAACGTCGTCCTGCACAGGCGGGGCGGGAGACGGTGCCAGAGCCTCCGCGCGGCACCAGTCGGCGTCGCCGCCGTCCCAGGGCGGCCGACGCGCGAAGTGGTCCCGCACCACAAAGGTCAGGAAAGCGAGGAACGCTCCCGCCACACCCTGCATGCGGCGAAAACTCTGGAGCCCAGACGACTACTGAGTGACACGCTGAGGTGATGAGACCGACATCCCAAAATCCGCTAAGTCATTAATGTGCACGCACCCCCAGGAGACGGAGAGACAGACATAGTGCGAAAAAGAGAAGAGAGATGGTGACCTTCTTGTTTCGTTCCCGGGTAGCGGTCGTCACCCGGGAGACGGAGAGGGGGAGGGGTCGGGCGGGAGGGTAACATTAACAGCGGCCGCGGCGTGCACCCGCCAGGGTGCGTCCGCGCCACAGGCGCATCAACCGCCGTTGTGCACCACAGCATGTGGGGGGGCTCCAGGCCCCCCCCGATACGATCGCTAGCGTTAAGTCGGGCCTGTCCCCCTACAGGGGGGTTTTCGACGAAAAATTAAACATAGTCAAAAAATACGCCAAAATAGTCAAGACTTCGTCAAAAAATAGTCCCCAGACTATATTTTGACGATGGGCCCGACATAACGCTAGCGTTACCCAGGGGGGGGGGGGAAGGGGGCTGCCCTGGGTGACGTGCGCTATCCTGGGGAGGGACAACAAAAAGCCCACCTGGAGACGGAGGAATTGCAACGATGAAGGGGCCCAAGGACACACACACACACAAGTACACACAAATAACAGGATTCCCCCACATGTTCCCCATGTTTTCTGGGTTTCTGTCTTCCCCTCCACTTCCCATGTTTTCATCTATTCTCTGGGGAATCGACAATGAATTGCGCCTTTGTGTTTTTCCCTCCTGAAGAGAAAAGAATGGCAGGCGATGCGTCCGCATCTCCGCGCGCCCGCCCCCCCGCACACCCCTCTCGCCATCGCTCGGACGTCCCTTTCCAGTGCCTTTGTTCAGTGTCGTGCGTGGCTTTTTCGCCACATGATCAGGGATGCTCCTCGAGTAGGGGAACAAAAAGTGACATAAAAACAAAAACTCGGAGGTCCGCGCGGATTTCTCGGATCGGCGCTGGGCCCCCCTGCGGCGCCTCCGGCGCCGCCCCTGGCGCGCTCCGCGCGCCAGGGGCGGTCCGGAGGGTCCGCAGGGTCCTATCGAGGGTCCACTTTTTGTTCCCCTACTCGAGGGTCCTCGCCGAGGGAAAACTGCACACGTCCGAGCGATGCCGAGCCCTGGCCCGAGGCGGCCACCGCCGGCGGCGAGCTGGGCGACGTAGACCTCGTAGGGCAGCTCCGTGAGCCTGTGCGGGGGGGGAGGGCCGGGCCGGGCCGGCAGGGGGGCGCGGGGCCGGCCCCCTGCGCCCCTCGGGCAGGGGCGAAAGGGGGGGATAGCAGAGGGGGGGGTTGAGAATCAGCTCACATTAGCTGATTTTCCAGGCGCCTCCTTAGAGGGCGAAAAATCCACCCCCATAATAACCACCCCATCACGCGAAGCCGTTTACTAAACGCCCCCACTGAAGGAATCGAGCAGGGCAGGGCTGTTTAGTAAACGCCCAAGGTCCGGTCCGGGTGGTTTTCCCTCCCTTGACTCCTGGCGCCGGAGGCGGCTATCTATCGAGGAATGGGCCCCTCGGTGGGGCCGAAACCAGCTGCAGGGAGCAAACTTCGTACCCCCCCCTTTCCCACTTCCCCCCTTTCGTCCGGCCCGAGCCCCCGCCTTCCCCCCATCGAGCAGGAGATCGAAGATCAAAAGCACGAACCGAAGCACGAAAACAAGCAACAGCGTGAACCAGCACGAACCGTTCGAAGCACGCAGAGAAGCGACGAAGCACTCCGCGAAAAACAGAAAACGAGGGCCCAGACCAAGCTTGTGCATTCGGCGGGAACTCAATTTTAGAGTCGATCAATTCTCTACTTGATCCCCGATTCAGCTCCAAACCACCTCGTGTCATGATAAAAACACCACGGAAGGTTCTTTGCTATGTTCGGCCTCTGAGGGCCCTCGCCGGCCCTTCGGGACGTCAACACACGACTCGAGATGGGAAGCTCTTTTCCTGGGGGAAGGGGTCGAGACCCCTGGGGGCCGACGTCGAGTAAAAAGTCACGACGCCGGGGGTCTGGGCCTCCCTCCAGGTCTCGAGCCGGGTGGTCAGCGGGCTGTCTGCACGCACGATGCCTGGCAGCCTGCCCGGGAGCTCCCTCGCCGGGGGAGCGACACGAAGTGGCAGTGGCACGTCGCCGTGGGGAACCCCTCCGAGCGTCGCTGTTGAAGAACGCCAGGGCTTTTGGCGCACACGGCAGGTCGGGCATGTCCTCCCGCAGGCGGATTCTGGGCGAAGATTGAGAAACAACCACAATGAAGAAAAGGCAAAAGTTGTCAAACAAATCGTTGCCATGTCAGTCGTTCAATTATTGTTCAATGCTCCTCCTGTAGAGGGTGTGTGAAGGGGCCGTGGGACGCACACATAAATACACATAAATAACTGGATTCCCGATATGTTCCCATATTTTCTGGGTCTCTGTCTTCCCCCCCACTTCGGGCTCACGCAAGCGACGTGCCGTGGATGCGTATGCTCTCTCCCTCCCGTCTGTCCGACCCCCCCCCGCCCCACTCTCGCGCCACCTCCTCCTCCTCCTCCTCCTGCTCCTCCTCCTCCTCCTCCTCCTCCTCCTCCTCCTCCTCCTCCTCCTCCTCCTCCTCCTCCTCCTCCTCCCCCTCCCCCCCCCCTCCCCTCCCCCTCGCCCCCCTCCTCCTCCTCCTCCTCCTCCTCCTCCCTCTCCTCCTCCTCCTCCTCCTCCTCCTCCTCCTCCTCTCCTCCTCCTCCTCCTCCCTCCTCCTCCTCCTCCTCCTCCTCCTCCTCCTCCTCCTCCTCCTCCTCCTCCTCCTCCTCCTCCTCCTCCTCCTCCTCCTCCTCCTCCTCCTCCTCCTCCTCCTCCTCCTCCTCCTCTCCTCCTCCTCCTCCTCCTCCTCCTCCTCCTCCTCCTCACTCCTCCTCCTCCTCCTCCTCCTCCTCCTCTCCCTCCCGACTGTCCGACTCCCCCCCCCCATGACGACCTACCAGACCACCCCAAAGCCCAACCCGAAGACCCGAGTTTCGGGTTTGGGGAGGGGGTACGGGTTCCACATGTGTTTTTCTCGATGTTCCCCGACCCCCCCCCACTGGAAGTGGAGGTCAATGTGCGGCCTGCGGGTCGGGTTGGGGTGGTTTGGTGGCCGGTGAGCCCTCCACCCTCGCGCCACCCCACCCCCTGGGCGTGCCACGGGCTGGCGCGCAGCCGCACTCCAACCCTGCGGGGGCTCCCGCGGCGGCCGCCAGGCGGCCAGCTGCCGCAGGAGATCCGGGGAAAAGCAGGAGCCAGGAGCGGCAGAAGTAACCCCAGAGGGTCTTCTATAAACCCCCAGGCAATAATGGGAAACTGAATAATTTGTCTGCTGGCTTAGTGACGGATTGGGAGCCAGGAGCGGCAGAAGCACCACCACCACCACCAGCCGGGGTGGGTGGGCCGCTCCCTCCCCTCGAGCTGGTGGCAGCCCCTCCTGGAAACTCTCTAGAGGCATGCCCGGAACGAGGTGCAACCACCACCCCCGCTGGTGGTAGTGCTACTTCTGTCTCTGGTGGGAATCATCGGGAGCGGCCAAGAGGGGGGTGTCCAAGAGGGGGGGGTGCACAATTCATGACCGGCGGCATGTGCGCGGCCCAGCGGGGGGGCCTGGGACGGAATGAAACACGAGGAGGCGCCACGAGATCTGGGGAAACATCACGACCCCCGCCATGATATCCACCCCCCCCTAGTTACCCCCCCCTTCTTCTCCCCCCCCCGAGGATGGACAGACCTCCCTGTAGTAAAACGTGGGTTAGTGAAAACGACCTGAGGCCCAAACCTGGCGGGCGCAACCCTGGAAAATAACGGCCGCGGCGCCCTCTCGAGAACCGAAAACGGACAATTCACTGATCGACGTGTCACTGTTGGGGGTTCTGTCCACCCCCGATACTCCCTGGACCCCTTCCCAGGTGCGTTCGGGCCAGGATTCCCCCGCGAGTCCGGCGGTGGCGACGCCGGCCTCCCAGGGGAGGCCCCGAGGCGGGCCAGCGAGCCGAGGGTGCCTTTAAGTCGGGCATGTCCCTCCACAGGGGGAAGAGTCAAAATCAATTTAAAAACACAATGATATGGTGTTTTTTTTTGGGGGGGGAAAAAGAAAAGAAAGCAAAAACCATGTTTGAATATTCTTGGGGTATGTTTTGACTATTTTTTATTTTTCGTCCAAACTCCCCCTGTAGGGGGACAGGCCCGACCGACTCAAAGGTCCCTGTATGGGCACCTCTGCCTCCTCTCGAGGGTCCGTGGTCGGCGGCGGGGGCCCTCTGAGCGCCCACCCCCGCGCCGAGGGGGGAGCTCTCGCCGGACGGCGCAGGCAGTGATGAGCGGTCGTGGGTGAAGTCGGGCCTGTCCCCCTACAGGGGGGCCTTCGACGAGAAATCAAAACTACACCACGCATGCTCCCAAATGGAAAAAACGAATACAAAAAAAATCCCCCGACTATTTTTGGACTATGTTTGGATATTCCCCCTGTAGAGGGACAGGCCCGACTTAAGTCTCGGGCCGCTGGCTTCCGCGCTCCGCCCCCCCCCCCCCACAGGCTGTGGCGAGCGTTCGGTCGGGCATGTCCTCCGACAGGCGGGTTTGAGATGAAACATGAACAATAATCAAAACATCAAACAACAAAAAATCGCCCCCAGACGGTATTTTGACTAATATTGTTGAGTCTTCCTCCTGAGGGACAGGCCCGACTGAAGACGAGTGCCAGCACGAAGGAGCCTATGCGACGGGTCCTGGAGCCGCCAGGCTGGACTTGATCGCGGTCCGCCCCCGAAAGCTCTCCACGGGGTGGGTCCCCAGACATTTTGGCGCCTTGACAAAAATCGAGGCGGAAGCTTTTCGTCGCTTTCGGCCCCTCGGGGCCCTCACCAGGCCCCGGGACCGTCAAAAAACGATACGCGATGTAAGACCAGATCCTGGGAAATGGTCGAAAGGTCAGGGACATGCGTCTCGACAAAGATCGAGACGCCGGATGTCTGGGTTACCGGAGGAAGCCGGAGAACGCCTGGAGGCCTCGGAGACCGCGGGAGCTCGGGGCGGGGGGGGGGGGGCTTGGGGCGACCTCGGCATGCTAGGGCTCCCAACTTCGCGCTTCGCGCTCCGCGAAGCGCGAAAACTTCGCGCTCTCGCGCCGCCCCCCCCCCAAAGGGAGAAAAGGAGGACGAGGAGGGGGGGGAGAAGGAACGAGGACCGCGAAGCGCGAATGAATTCGCGCCCTCGTGGGAGCCCTTGGGCATGCCGTCACAGCCCGTGTTCCCCATGGTCCATGGCCCCGCTTTGAGGGGGGTGGCGGGCAGGGAAGCGAACCCGTACCATCAAAAACAGAAATGCCCATGCCGCAATCTGCGGGACAGGGAAGGTGCCCCAAGAGAGGCAGCACAAGTGACTAGGAGCACAGGTTTAGGTACTCGTTCTGGGGGCGTTCCTGGGGCCACTCGCTCCATACTTGAGTCGATGCTGCGACTGCGACGAACGTCCGTCGAACTGAGTCGACTCTGAATCGAACTTGAGTCGAGCTTGAATCGAATCAGAATCGAACTAGACTCTGCCTAGCTAGATTCAAGCTAGAGGCGATCAATCCGTCAGGTGGGACCCAGAAAAGACTCCAAACGAACATCTACAAAGAAAGGGTGGTCCCTGAAACCCCAGAAACCACCCGCAATCACAGGACAGGGCAATACTCCCAGCCGTGTTCCTGGGAACCTTCCGCGGGGTGGATCCAGGGAGCATGTCAGCGCGCCAGCGCACACTGAGGGGACAGCGGCGGCGGCTTCCTCCGCCACGATACGAGCGATACGCACCCTCACACGGAGGGCGCACAGAGGTGGGGGCTGGAAAGCAACACTGGCCTGCAGCTGCGAGAGCCACGTGCGCCGCCATTACCCCAGGCTGCCACGCAAGGTGATGGCTGGCGCTATCATGGGCACCTATTTGGCATCTGCGCGCATACGTGGGATGACTGACCTCAACATGGGCCAACTATTCTCAAGGACCATGCAAGAGTCCCGTCTGGGGGATGCCGAGGTTCTTCCCATGACAGCACCACAATGGGCCAGAAATGCTCCGAGACAATGGAGGGATCACATGACGAGCGATCGTCAAAGTGCCAAGTCTTCAAGATACACACAACACTTGATTTTATCTAGACTTGAATGTCTCGAGCTTCCATGCGTGAAACTTAAAAACCACCTGTTCATCGACG